TTGATTTAGCCAAGGCTTGTTGGTCAGGTCGTTCAATAGAATTCTTGTGATTACTTGATCTTGGAAACTTCATACTACCTTAACTGTCAATTTGAGGAGTAATGGAAACATGCTTAACACCCAAACAAGCCAGAGCGTTGGACCTGATGTCATTATTATCATATTATACATTACAGGTTACATAACATTTGGCCATTCTCGAATGCATCATTCATGTCCAGCAAAACAGCAGGAATGAAGCTTGTAATGTCAACACTAAAGTATTGTCGAATGTCTTTATCAGATTAGTTTATGGATATTTATTTTAAATGCATAGTAAGTCTCTTTATCCCACCTTTCGATTTTGGGAATTTTTATGCCCCCGTATCGAAAATTCGGAGCTATATAATTTTTGCCCTGTCCGTCCGTCTGTCTGTTTTTCTGTTTATCTGTTTGTCCCCAAAAACTTTAACATTGCTCATAACTTTTGATTGGTTGGAGCTATGGCTTTCATATTTCACATGTGTATTCCTTGTGAAAAGACCTTTCTTTGGATACCTTCATATTTGACCTTTTGATCTTGACCTTGGAGTCTGACCCAGTTTTACAAAATTTTACCCAACTTTAACCTTGGCCATAACTTTTGAACAGTTGGTGCTAAGGTTTTCATTCTTCACATGTGTAATCCTTGTGACAAGACCTTCCTCCTGAGACCAACAACTCTGATCCTTTGACCTTGACCTAGGAGTTTGACCTACTTTTGGAAAACTTTAACCTTGGCCATAACTTTTGAACAGTTGGTGCTAGGGTTTTCATTTTTCACAAGTGTAATTCTTGTGACAAGACCTTCCTTTAGATACCAACAACTTTGACGCTTTGATCTTGACCTTGGATTTTGTCCTACTTTCAGAACACTTTAACTTTAGCCATAACTTTTGAACAGTTGGTGCTAGGGCATTCTTACGTCACATGTGTATTCCTTGTGACAAGACCTTCCTTTGAATACCAATAACTTTGATCCTTTGACCTTGACCTTGGAGTTTGACACTTTTGAAAAACTTTAACCTTGGCAATAACTTTTGAATGGTTGGTGCTATGGCTTTCATACTTTACATGTGTTATCCTTGTGACAAGACCTTCCTTTGGATATAAATAACTTTGACGCTTTGATCTTGACCTTGGAATTTGACCTACTTTTGGAAAACTTTGACCTTGAACAGAACTTTTGAGCAGTTGGTGCTAGGGCTTTCACCTTTAATATGGCTCTTCCTTGTGACAAGTCCTTCCTTTGGATACCAACAATTGTAATCCATTGACCTTGACCTGGGAGTTTGATCTACTTTTGGAAATATTTAACCTTGGTCATAACTTTCGAATGATTGGTGCTTCGGCTTTTATATTTCACCTGTGTATTTCTTGGAAGAAGGCCTTTCCTTGGACACCATTAATTTTGACCATTTGACCTTGACCTTGATGTTTGACATACCTTTTGAAAAACCTTTAACCTTTTCCATATCTATTCAATGGCTGTTGCTAGGGCTTTCATATTTCACAGGTATATTCACTTTGCTATCTGTAGGAAAGGCAATTTTAAAATATTTCCATATTATAAGATGCACAATGACTGTGAAATATCCAGAGTAGCAAAGGAGGACTACTTTATTAAATTATTAGACCCAAAACTTAACAGAAAATAATTGCTTCAGAGTCATTTTTCTATTAAATTTTCTACTTGTTTTTGAATTTTGAAATAAAATTTTAACTGCTTACTGCCAACTGCTCACTGTTTATTGGCAACTGCCAGATGCTTACTGTCGACTGCTCACTGCTTAATGCCAACTGCCACTGTTCATAGATGATATTGCCTGTTTTGTTATCTTTAATATCTTCAATACTCATGCTTGAATAAATCCTATGAGAGCAAGAATATTACAATAATAACAAAAATTGGTGGATTCGGGAATTTTTAAACGGTGAAGGCGAGGAAGGAATAAATAGGAGGAAGGTGGTATTTCTTCTTAATTGCGAAACATTTAATTTCTACATTTGCAGGTAAATAATTCAATAGCTTTTTTGACGGGGGAGAAATTGAATGCTTATATAACGTCAGAAAAATGGGGGAGGGGGGCTTTAAGTAGGATCCTGAGTAATATTTGTTGGTATAAGCATTTACACCATGCAGAAATACTAATGAAAAATCATAATACAATGCATTAATTTTACTCCATGTAAAAACAGTTGACCTTATAAGGCGAGGAATCAATTTCCGTGCGGGGGGGGGGGGGGGGGGAGGGGGGGGAGACAACCCAACAGAAATCCCTTAAGTTATGTATACATTAATTCGAGTAGTTAGTTTGCAAAAAAATTAGCGATAATTAGCCATATAATCGATCAAAATTTAGGCCCCGATTTAAGAATTGTCACGTACGTATTACTGTGACGTCATATACGACCTTGTACAGTAACTGTATATTATATGTTGGCAATTTATTGGGGACACCCACAACCATCTCCACTATTTTTTTAAAACAAATTACAAGATTATCCATTAAAACGATTTAAATAAGACACGTATAAAAAAAAATCACAAATACAAGTACCTTTCATAGGGTACCAAGTAGCACTAACAGATATTACTAGATATTTTACCCTAGGTAAAAGTGATGTTTTTTTCAGTAATATTTCTAGTATAAATACATATACCAACAAATGTAACCTCCAAATTATGAAGACCCTACTCAGGGTTTGTTCTTTTGTCGTAGGTGACCCCCCCCCCCCCCCAGCTATTGAATTATTTGCCAGCAAGGGAATATGGGAATTAAATGTTTTATTTTTAAAGAGGAAATACAAATTCTTTCGATTTACCGTTCCCTCCCCGTCAAGGTTCCTAAAACAGCATGTTTTGTAAATATTGTAAGAACTACACACGCTAACGCTAATTCCATTTACATATTACATCCATTTGATTCAATATTAATGGGAATTTGGCTATTAAAACTTGTTTGTACGAAAGCCCATTGAGCTCATTTTCGTAGATAAAAAAATATATTTTTCGCGTAATAACGCGAAACTTTCGCGAATAAACGCGAAACTTTCGGTTATAACGCGTAACTTTTGCGAATAAACGCGTAACTTTCGCGAATAAACGCGTAACTTTCGCGTTATAACGCGAAACTTTCGCGAATAAACGCGAAACTTTCGCGTTATAACGCGAAATTATACATATATAGTCATGTTACTCAGGAACCTGTGATCTTGACTGACAGATCAAAAACATGATCGACGCAGAGAGGGACTTCTATGAATTTATAAATGACATTTCTTCAGAAGATGTAAAAGAGAATTGATGCGACAAATGGATAGATTAGTGTTGATTTTGCATTTAATCTCCAAACCCTACTAATTAATTAAATGAATATTCCTTTAAAGATTTTCTTGTTTTTCACTTGTTGAATCCAAGAAATTCTGTAGACCAATTTTTTTTTTCTCAGGAAGATCTCCACTCGTTGCTTTCTTTGAATAAATTGTCAATGTTTTCGTAAGTAATGGTAGGACCAAATGATGCAACCTTAAAATACAATGTTGTATTTCTTCAGTAAGTCTATCGGAGATGAAATATTTGATACGAATATTTGTCATCCAATTTTCACATTAGGTTACTCATGTGATGTGAAACAATTGTTCCGTGAAATACAAATTTACCTCATTGTTGTCAATTTTCTGAGATCTTTTATTTCAAATTCTATATAGAGTGTTCAATCTAATTAAAATTAGACTTGTATTTTTGCTCCTCTACTATACGCTTCAACACTTGTATTGAACACCATTGAGAAAGACAAAATGTGACGGCAAAAAAGATTTAGAAAGAGGAAAGACACATTCAATGAGCTCAATGTGCTTTCGTATGTTTGAATGTAAAGAAGAGTAAATTTGTAATGGGTAATTTCAAAACCAGTGTCCAAAAGTATATTGCTCTTATTTACAACTCCTTTCATAAAGGGGGGGGGGGGATCTTTTTTAATTGAAATCAGGCTTCAAAACATCACAAGACTTTTAAATTCTCATGGAAATGGATAAATGACCTTTAATGTTTAACTTATGTAAAATTTAACATATCTGATTGATAAGTAAATGTTTTTACTTGTTATCTCATTTGAGATTGGTAACAAAATACATGTTATTGATGTAACTATTTTTATTGTTTCTGTCTGTAAACATAACCCCCCCCCCCCCCCCCAGTGAAACAAAAAAATAAAACAAAACAAAACAAAACAAAACAAAAAAACAAACAAACAAACAATTTGTTATGAATTTGTGAAATAACAATTCATAATACCTGTAAAAAAAATGTTGTTTCATTGGTTGGGGAGGGGTTTGAAAATAAATAACCGTTTTCCGTTGATTTGTATAGTGATAAACACAAGTTTTACCAAAATTATAGACTTAACTCTCTTCGCTTTTCCAAATAAATTATGTTTTATGAAAATTCACTTAAATGTCTACATAGATATAAAAAAATCATTCAAATGTGTTCATAAGATTTATTCAAGCATGCGTATTAAAGAAACTAAGATATCAAAAATATATATAAGCAATATCATCTATGAGCAGTAGCAGTTGACAGTAAGCAGTGAGCAATTGGAAGCAAGCAGTGAACAGTTGGAAGTAAGCAGTTGGCTGTCGTATATGGAATTCCATAGACATCAGACGTTTTTATTGGGCATGTTGATCAATCTCCTATGCAGAGTTGTCGTTCGTTTCTCTCTCAGTGAAGGTATGAGCCGATGGTGGAGGGAGTGCATTGCACACACATATAGTAGCTATGTTTTCTATAGTATTCTATATATCGGCAAAATTATTGGGAGGGGGGGGGGGTACGGCCGTAACAATGGCTGTCACGTGCCGCCCCCCCCCCCCTTCCCAACTGAAAATGTGTAAATTTACATCGGGTACGGTATTCAAAGAATACGCGTTGGGGCGGAGAACCAGGACAAGGCCGGGTGGGTGCAGACCTTTGTAACAGCGTGGTTGGTGATACATTAAGTTAAGTAGCAATAAGGTGAGTTAGTACTCTTACCAGTAATTGTGATACTAAGTAGATAAGTCAGTAGTACAGTATCAGAAAAAGACAGGTATTTATATCTTTGGTTTTTAGGTAAACGCGTTACCGGTGGTGACCATTCATAACATTGTAACAATGATTAGATAAATCGCTGGAAAATGTCATAGACATTATGTAAACAATAACATGTGCTTTGCTAACGCATAGAGCGTGATTTTGGCATGCATGTGATATCTGAATGATAAAAGAGCTAACTTGTTTAAGATTGATATGTCTGATTGATAATGAGTTGTTTTGGATCAAACACGGCCGATGATATATACACGACCGTCGTGCGCATAGAAAAGAAAGTCTATTTACACGACCGTCGTGCGAATAGCTGTTGCAAATTGCTGAGATATATACACGACCGTCGTGCACATAAGTAAGAAAAAATCTATTTACACGACGGTCGTGCAAATAGCAATCGCACATTGCCAGAGATATGCACACGACGGTAATAGATATTATCAGATTATGCATATATACACGACCGACCTGTGCTCGAAGACACGACGTTGTTTGTAAATAGAATTTGACCCCAGTATGAACATTCACGTCAACATTTTTTGGACATTTAAATACTATTATAAAATGGATATTTTTATGAACGGACATTTCTTTTCTTTTACACACATTAAATTAAGAAGACTTTGGTAAAATAAATATAAAAACTTATTGATAATTTAAAGAGATCCAATCCCGATGGGTGTTGCTAAAACGCGGAACGGAAAACGGAATGGAACGGAAAACAGAAAATTTAGGTCAAACAAATAACCTATAAAAAAGTCATATCTAATAAAAATTTATCGTAAACTATGATATATTCATTAATCATGCACACCCTCAGAACTGGCACATGTAAATGCGATGGTCTATAAAATACATACTATAACTAGACTCAAATCCTGAGTATCCATCTGAACGTTTCGTACAAATTCTTTTTTTTTTTTAAAAGAAAGCTCATTCATAAAAAATTATATTGTATTGAAATAGGCAGAAGGAAAAAAAGACTACTAGTATGAACATACATATATCTGTAAAGACAAAAGTAACTAGTTTTGACATTCAGATTATGCAAGCAGTGGCGAATCCAGGAATCTTGAAAGGGGGGGGGGGCAGTTTGGGTAGGGTAGGGGTAGGGGCCCACAGTTGGGTAGGGGCCCACAGCCACACCAAAAAATTGATTTATTAAATCTTATGTATATTTTGGACACAAAAAGGGAGGGGGGCGGACATTTTGCAACTTCTCAGACCTTTCCGATGAGCGGAAAACAAACTCAAATGTTTTACGGGGTCATTCATATACCCCCCCCCCCCCCACACACACACACACATGTACCACATATAAACAAACTTTAACTTCATTGAATGTAAAGATGCTACATTAAATTTACCACAGAAAAGTTTTCCAACTTTATCTACATGTATCCAGAATTTTAATAAATAGGAAGCGACTCTATTTTGTATAAAATTTTAACAACCAGTGTTACATTAGAGGTGTTTATGCTGGAAAGGTTTGCTCTAATCGTAATCTTAAGATTTTTTTTTACATTTTATTTCTCTTACCATGGTTTATCTAGATATCATTCAAATATTTGCCCCCCCCCCTTTTTTTTCCAGACATAACCTTTTTACTATAGAAATGTTCATTGAAACCCCCACACTTTTTGTTAATGTAATTAATGTAGTAAGTTAGTGTAAAAAAATAGTACTGAAAGATGTTGGAGATGGAGTTGGTACTTATCCCCCCTCCCGAATCAATCAATTGTCTTCTTTTTTTCGCTTTTCAAATTCTTTTCAGGTAAATTTAATTCCCCCCCCCCACTTTCAAATTTGATTCTACGTCACTGCTAAGTCAGCGATTTTCGTGAATAAGAGACTGAACATGACTAAATCAACTTGTATTTAATAATGGGGGATTGAATATTTATAAGATATATCGTTTATGATAAAATTTGTATATTTTAAGTGATTTAATCTAAAATAATATATTCCATTTTCCGTTCCGCTTTCCGTTCCGTTTTCCGTTCCGCGTTTTAGCAACACCCGATCCCGATCAGATTTGTGTGGAGTTCCAAAATCGCTTAACTTTGACATTGTGAGGATGAGATGAGCCCGTTTCTGGCTTTATGTGTACATTTAAATTTCTTTTTTTTTTTTATCATTGACAGTTTTTTTTTTTAAATAGAAATGCAAGCAATTGATTGTTTCACACGATAGTGAATATTACATTTATGTTGATATTAAAAAAAAATGTAAAACATATGAGGGATTGACACCTGTGTAAGATCTACACTCCACCTTCAGATAAAAAAAAAAAACTTTCGTGGGTAATCCCCTATCTGAATTGTAAAATACATAAGTTTAGAAACAGGATGGGGATAATAAATACCACATTGCATCAGTTTTAGTCCAACTAGACTGGGACACATGATCGTGCCCCCTTTATGGTTCTCTCTCACATCTTTAAGTCTTTCTAATTCTATTCTTTTCATACTTGAAGTTTACAGACTACTTCATTTACATATTTCTATTTGAAACTGAATGAAGTACTGTATTATGACCCACAACCATTTCCTTTCACACCCCTTTCTTTTTACAGTACAGCTTCTTTTGTGGATAATTTTGATTATTTTACATACATGTATAAAATATATGGACGCACCAGCTTGAGGATGGGTATATTATGAGCTATTCAAGTGTGCCGAAGAATACATTCAACCGAATCGTAATATAATTTCTATCAGTTCCATAAAAATGTAGATGAAGCAGTTTATTTGAGTGATAGAAAGAGAAAACAAATCTATAAAAAAAAAAAAAAAGAATAATAATGAAGATTTCAAATGAAAATAAAATTGGAAAGGGGGTTGATCACTCAACATCCGTTCTAAAAGAGAAGATGTGCAGATCACCAGGGATAGACACTAACTTTCACACTTGGCTAGGGATGATAGGAGGGGGGGGGGGTAAAAGTTAAATTACTGGGTTATACCCTCCTATATACCCTTTCGGCCCTCAACCACACAGTGCACTCACACATATGTTGTATTCTGGATCTGGCATGGAATTTCGATGATATATTGATGACCGTATTGATGACGTAAAAAATTGAAGGTGAGCAGTACTTTCAACCAATGTAATATCATTTGCGGATGAGTGTTATATTTTCATAGTTGCAAGTATGTCATATAACAGTCATTTTACTTGTTCAAATTACTCTAATTTTGGGACAAAAGATTTAGAAACTCAATAAAAATAAAACAAGCAGTTATGCAAAATTTAAAGAAATAGTTTAGACGTACTGTCTTTTCCCGAGACACTTTCAAAGTGTAATGTGTATTATGACTCTCTGAAACTATGTTTATTATAAAAATATTAAATAAAACGTATAAAAAAATACACATGGGAGAAAAAAAATTAAAAGAGCACAACTGGAAAAATCTTGAGGTCTTTGTCAACAGTTTGTCATCGTTTAGGTAGATATACCTCAATGTTTACCACATATTCCATACAAACTTGATGATTTTTATAATTATTATATAAGGGAACTGCAATATGTATTTACTTATGAATATCATTATTGTTTAATTTGAGATTACACGTGTGTAATAACGATGGTTGTATGACAAAATTTTGGTTAAAAAGTGTATTAAAGAAATCACTACTAGAGTAGGCAAAATGCTATAATCCAATGTTCTATGACTCTGTTTAATTGGTGGGATTTAGTTTGACATGCTTTTCCAGGAACATCAATAATCAAAATCGCTAAAATAAAAAAAAAAATAAAGCCCGGAAAACGTATATCTTGGATTAGGTTGAGGTGGAGGGGGTAAACCGCAAGCCTACCAAAATAGTAGGTAAACACTTTGTTATAGTGACGTGTATATATACAAATACAAGGGCAGTTCTAATAGAAACAGATTTACATTACACCGACCGGCCCATTGGATCTATATGTCACTTTAGCATATAAATTAACATTATGAAAAAGTTTTTCTAATGTTTTCTTACTAAAATGCTCCTAGGCTTAAATCAGGTAAGTCACTGCGTGCCGAACTTAACCGGGGACGAAACAACGAATGGCAGAATAAGTTGATAATGGTCGTGCGAACAGCTTATTAATAAATACATTACACGACGGTTGTGCAAATAGTCAATGAAAAATTATATACACGACGGTCGTGCAAATAGTCATTGAAAAATTATATACATGACGTTCGTGCGAATAGCCGATGAAAAAGTAAGTGCACGACGGTCATGCATATAGACACTGCCATCAAACACATTATCAAGTTGAGCGCACTTCCCTTATAAAGCAACTGGTACGTTAAAACTTAAAGGGTTTTTATCATGTCTCAAAATTTTTTGATATGACAAAGTTTACATGCTATCAAAATCATATATTTAAAAAACTTGGCTTGAAAATTAATATTTTTGATGTTTCAGCGATTCAAAGTTTGAATTTCTCAATATGCATATTTTGATCGCCGATGTTACGCGCCATTGCTCTGACGTCATAGGTGTCAATCCTGGTCAAGCGAAGTACTTATTGTGTATACAGAAGGGCTCATTTGTAGTGTCTATTAAACCTGTTAGAAAATAATTAAGAGATAATTGGATAATTGACAGCTAATAAGGTATAATTTAAAGCTTTAGGCCAGAGTTTTTTTATTTTCTGTTTAACGGGAATTTTTAAGAAAAAGTCGGGTCGAGGGGGCGAAATAAAATAAAAATAAAAAGTTCAAAATTTGTCGAGTCGAGACCATAAAAAAAATAAAACCCAAAAATGGTATGAATTTTTTTTTTATATAAAATGTTGAAAAATGAAAGAAAACACCATAAAATTTTGTTTATCATTTATTTGGATTTTAAATATGGAAAATAGATACAACTAACTATATGCATGTGTCATCCTACTGTGGTTAATTACACTTGTAAATTCTAGTATGAAAGCA